ATCATCATCATAAGGTCATCAGTCCTAAGACTGGTTGGACACGCACCTCCACTCTTTCCTATCCTGAGCTAATCTTCGCATTTCCTTAAAACTAGAACAACCCACATCCTTAACTATTTGCGAACAGTAATCTAATCTAGGTCTACCTCTACCCCTCCCAAATAAATTCCTTTATTTATATGTGTATTAGCTATAACGAGTTTGTGGTCCCTCAACCCTCCAACCTTCCACATTCTCCGTAAATTTTTACTAACCACTATCGGGAAAAACTTTAGAAAGAATTTTAAAGCGTAATATTTCGGGAACAGGAGTTCAAAATGAAAAGTAATCGGAATTGATACTTTTTTGTTGTAATTAAGAGTTTTCCTGCGGTTAGACATGGGATTCCAAGAACTGCCTTCTTTCCCCAACTTATCAATTTTTCATATTGTAGTTATGGAGAAGAAAAAGTTTGAATTGTTTGAGATGTAGTGTTTAATAGGCGGATAATAACAATGCCATGGGCATCATCATCATAAGATGAGATCGTCAATCCTAAGACTGGTTGAACACGCACCTCTACTTTTCTCTATCTTGAGCAAACCTTCTCGTTTCCCTAAAACTAGAACATCCCACATCCTTAACTATTTTTGAACAATAATCTAATCTTAATTCTAACTCTATTCCTCTTAACTAACTAGCCCTTCCCGCCTATTTCTTATTGTTCTCCATGGGCATAAAAGGTTAGTCATAAGGAGTGGGAAAACAATTTCTTGATTTACTTCGTCATTATTTTGATTGATTTTAGTTTGCGACTGCTCGATGTGGGAATTAAAAGATATTTTAATGTATTTTTTATAAAGACGAAGCCTTTTCGTTTAAATGTCATTGTTATTGTTATTCAATTCGTCAACTTAAAAGCGTACCTAATTGTTACAATTGGTACTTGGTTTTCTTCACACAAAATGTTTTTATCTTTGTTTCATTTCAACAAGGTGGAAAACAAAGCTGGGATGTGTGTCGCGGTCGGGACTTCGAAAGGGTATTCTCTAGATGTAATTGATTTTCTGTCAACGAAGCAAAGCTCCGGGAAAGCCCCGCGGGGTTATGGAATTCGAGTCGATAAAATAGCGGAACTACGATAAATTTTCCCTAATCGGCGCAATGTTTTTAGGCTCCTCCCATTTGACGGATCCCAATAGTCATCATCATAAGGTTGTCAGTCTTAAGACTGGTTGGAGACGTTCTTCCACTGCTTCTTATCCTGAACTAATCTTCGCACTTCCCTAAAACTAGAACATCCCACATCCTTAAGTGTTTG